CCCCCCCGCCCCTCCACCACCTGCATCGTTGGCCTGCATGGCTGCTCCAGTGAGGTACCTATTCTTTAAGGTGGCGCTTAATTAGCGCCGCTTCCAAGAGCTTCCGGTAGCGACCCCTCTCTCTTTTTTCTACTTTCCGGCTTTTCTCCGTCTCATTCTTTCCGGTTTCCCTTTGCTTTTTCCACTGGCACTATTGTACTCGCAATGTTACTGGGAATGAGGGGGAAAAAAAGTTGAGACTGAGAAAAAATGTAAATCGAAACTTGTTTTTTACACTTTCATTAAAATTTCTAATGAGACTAAATAATTCACGTTTAGCTTCAGCTCTGCGCTGGGGTGGGGTCTGAGGTAATTGGGGAGAGGGCGCAATGCAGGAGGCTGTGTTTGACGGGGATTTGCTCTGTATGGGGTGAGTTAGGGTAAAGATCTGTAAAGATCTGTCCAATTTGGCAATTAAATTGTGGGAGAAAAATTTGAAAAAAAATCATGAATATTCAGCGTCATTCAAATTATATTTTGCACAGAATTGTCATTTTCTTAAACATTCGTTGTTTATAAATCAGTAGCGATGTGGTAAAACGGTTTAAGTCGATTTTGACGGTTGACCAGTTTTTAGTGAATATCTCGGAATCTAAGGGAGATAGCTAAATTTTTGCCTAGACCTTTTTTGTAGCACTCAATTTTCCCTAGAAAAAAGGTTATTACGAAAAATTCATTATCTCCTTTAGATTCGGAGATATTCTTCAAAAACTCAACTGAGGGATAAGTCGACTTAAACTGTTTTACCACTTCGCTATTGAAATAAATTTTTGAAATTGTTTAAACTTTCGGAGACCTTATTTTTTCAAGCATGAAATTGATTCTGGTAAAATTATGAATATGAATAAATTTGTCACGATTCCGAGCAAATGATTTTTATGGTGGAAAATTGATTGTTTATAAATAATTTATGAGGACAAACAGTGAATGAAATAGGGGGATGCATTAAAAAATAACTAAATGCCCGTTCATTTGATCGTAATGTTTTTAAAAATGCGGGATGCTGCATGAAAGCCTCGAAATTCATGTTAAAAAAGGATATTTCATTAGGGAATACCTCAACAATGCGGACGAACGGACATATCAACTGAACACATGGACGACGAGATAAAATCTGATGAATAAAATTTATGTATGAATGAGTGTAGTTCAACTGCCGGGGGGTCGTCGACCCGGTGACTGTTTTCACATTGTTTTTGCGGATATTGTTAATCCAGCCGTGAGGTCGTCGATGACAAAGGCTTTATCCTGAAATTGATTTAAAAAAAATTGTTTCGATTGGTGAAATTGAACGGATTCTATCATTTATTTATTATTTTCGGATTGTAACTGTAGGTAATGAAGGAGATTGAGATGAGGATTATGAGATTATGGGAATCAATGGGATAAATATTTCATCAATCCAGGAAAGTTTTCAGACAAGAAATGGGTGCTGTGTAGCATAAAACAGTACGACAGCTTTTTTTCGAAAGAAAACAGTTTTCTCAGAAAAACTAAAAGTTTTTCAAAATAAAAGATTTCAATTTTAATAAAAATGAAACATTTTTAAAATCGGGAAAAAAATTAGAAAATTTACTTTTGGAGGAAGATTGATAAAATAATTGAAAGATTGCAATTTTTGGAAATTACGAGCATTTTCGGTAAACAATTTATAAACAATCAATTTTTTACTATAAGGATCATTTACTCGTAACAAATTTAAGGTTCAAAATTTTACTTTAATTTTAGAAATCGATTTCATGCCTAAAAAAATAAGCTTTCCGAAAGGTTGAACCATTTCAATTATTTATTTATAAACAACGAATGTTTAAAAAATGCTAATTTTGTGCAAAATTTTAATAACGCTAAATATTCACGATTTTTTAAAAAATTTTCTCACGCAATTTGATTTTTGACTAATTGTTTTTAATTAAAATTGACAAATTTCCAAACTACAACAAGTACCTGTAAAAAATCCTTGAATATCCTTAAGACATTGAATTCCCAATAAAAACATGAATATTCAGTACCAAATTGAAAATTCAAAGAAAATTTTACCGGAACATCACTCACTTCTATTAATTCCCACCGAATAATTGACCTGCTATTTTCAGTTCTCATTAATTTTCCCGTAAAACCCTGAATTCTCCTCTCCAAATTCCTTGAAATTCCAGCAGAACTCAACCGCCATCCAAAATTTAAAAAAAAATACCAAAAATTTCCGCCGACAATTTTCACCAGTTTAAACTATAAAAAAAAAATTTTCAGCACCGCGTTATTTAAAAAAAATTAAAATACTGTCAAAGGCCCCCTGCACGCTCCCCATATGCAAACTCAGAGACACCAAGGACGAAGCTTCCCCGGGCTCTCAAAGCCCAACTAAAACCAATCGTCCAAACCCGCCATTGCAACATCCAAAAGCCGTAATTACTCAGGTCACCGAGGGTCATCGTACCATTTCCATTATACACAGAACTTTAATCCCGCCTAAAAACTTTCCCCTCCCCCCTCCCTCCCCCTCGCCCCCTCCCAACAACCGTAGTTTCTCCACCGAGAGGAAGTGGCCATTTTTTACCCACGTTTAAACCTAACCTGAACTCTAAAAAGCTTCCTCATTCCAACGAGAGACTGGTGTTGGGTCGACACTTCTGGAAACTCGATTACTGAAATTTTTCCTTAATTTGCAACGAACCACGAGCCCAGACAAGGGCGAGGGGGTGCCTCCGTACGTTTTCCGCTAAAAGAAACGGCTTACGAAGTTTAAGTCTTCCTCGTTGGTTAAAGAATGGAGAGAGGGGGGAGGTTGGGGGGGGGGAGCGGGGACTCTGGGGATGAGGAACAACCTCACTATCGCCCAAAACCTTTTCGTCCCTTCTCCAACTATACACGTCTTGCAGGAAGTTTCCGTTGGAGGGAAAAAGGGTTTGGGAGATGCCGAGGTATTTCCCATCCGCTTTCACTCGTTTCATGTACTCGACTGCACACACTTGCTCTTTGTACGAGTGTACACGGTGATACAGTGTCTTGGAGGCTGTAAAACTTTTTGGCAGGGATTCATGAGACTGTAATACGCGGAGATCGCTGGGCTCTCGTGAGAGGGCACGTTAAATGCGTCGTAAATGTGGGGTTCTTATCCGGGTATTGGTGATTGGAGGGCTTCGGTACTTGCAACCGCGAATTCGTGGTAAATTTGATGGGATTAATCAGGGGATTGGGGGTGGGGACAATGTCAGGGCTCTAATGACTCAGTGATTTTGGTGAAAATATTGGAGAGCGCAGAGAGAAATCTGCAGTACAAACTCACGATTCGCTCACCAATTACAGAATTGACTCGGAAAATTTAAGTGAACGGAGAAGAATTTTTTAGAAAAATTCTAGTGCTAGCACGGGAAAAGAGGCGCAAAGTGATAGAAAAAAATTCCAGTGCTGGCACTAGAAATTTTATTGGGGAAAACGTGAATTTTTCCACGTATTTTTGTGAAAATTTCACAGAAATTTTACCAGAAATACCAAGAAATTTTGGCTTTACAGCACTCGAATTTTTCACAGCCGGTGGATTGTGATTTTTTCCAGTACTCGTACTAGAATTTTTCTAAAAATTTCTCTCCGTGTAAAATGACTTTTCCGGTCATTTTACAGTGATTTTATTCTTCAACTTTTAGGTCTGAATTTAAATCTCGATATTAACCGTTAGAAAACATTTTAAAAACATTTTAAAAAACTAGAAAGTTTACTTTTGGAGGAAAATTGATGAAATAATTTAAAAATTGCAATTTTTTAAATCACAAACATTTTCTATAAATAATTTACAAACATTAAATTTCCCACCAATTCCAATTACTTATTTACAAATAACGAATGTTTAAAAAAATAATAATTCTGTGCAAAATGTAATTTAAATGACGCTGAATATTCACGATTTCCTTCAAAATTTTCTCACGCAATTTAATTGACAAATTTGATGATAATTTAATCATCAAATTTTCAAATTCTAGTTTTTTAAAATTTATAATATGGTTTATACCAAACTCTAAAACATACTTGAATATCCATAATCCATAATACAATAATAGAATAATATAAAAATTTAAGAATAATGCGACTATTTCATCGCCTTCAAAAAAATTCATAACAAATGACTCATTTTCGGGCGCCCAAAGGGTTTTCTCCCGTTAAGCCAAGCAGTTTCATCGCGTTTAAAACTCGACAACACTAGTTTTGCTAAATAAATCAAAACACTTAACTGAAACTGTCAAAAACGTGTCGAACACGTCCAACATTACAACTCGCATTCAACGAAATTATCAATTTGCTGACATAATAATAATAAAAATAACATTACCACGTACATTTGATCCCCAGATATAGTTTTTAATTAAACTTAGAAAGCAGTTCGTTTTAAACAGCCAGTCGTCTCATCTAATTGCAGATTTCAATATCAGAGTAAATCCCGTAGCTGGTGAAAACGCAGCCTGTTGTCCAACCAGGGCACAATGCCGTCGTTTGCGGGAATGTTGGTGCTGTTTACGACAGGACTCGGGGTCCTTATGCCAGTCGTTAGTGGTGAGCTCTACACAGCTCTAGCTGACATGGAAGAGCTACTTGAGACCGAGTCGGTCCTCATTGACACACTTCATGGTTACATTAAAGCACAGGAGCAGAGATTGGAAACATTGAGGAGGTAATTACTACTTTATGTTGTCTGTTGATTGCATTTTTCATGCAGCAACCTGTCTTCTTGAGTTCACGTAAATTCAACAGGATGTGGTAATTAACGAATGCATGGGAATGCATTCAATATTACATATTAATAATTAATTTAAATTTTCTTTGCTAATTAAATAAAACTTAACAAAAAAAAACGGGGATATTCATAATAAAAAACGAAGATTCATCTGCTCTCAAAATTATTTTTAATGGCATTCAGAAAATTCTCATGAAAAATAAAACACCAACCCGCGGATTTTTTAAATAAATAAAAGTTAGAAGCGAAAGTTAACGCGAATTAATTCCCGTCGGAATCATAAAATTCCCTCAATTTTCCCAACAAGCAATCACTCATCGTTTTTTACAGCTGATGGATTCCATGCAATCAGCGTCATTATTAAATCCATGCGTCGGTTAGCATTCAAATAAAAGAAGAATATGTACCACTCATATAACAGCTGCTTTGATTTGAACATACGATTGATACGAGTGATATAATATAAATTAAATAATACGTATGTTCATTAATTACTGAATTCCATTAACTTGATTAAACGAAGAGATTACCGAGGAATATTTAAAAAACGAAAGTCAATTTATTCTTTAAATGGTTTTGAATATTTATAAAATTTTCGTGAAAAATAGTGCATCAACCCACAGAATTTTCAAATGAATAAATATTTTGGAAAGTTAAAACCCAATGATTTCCCATCAAAGCCGTAAAATCCCCTCAGTTTCCCCAACAAGCAATCAATCATCAGTTTTAATAGGTGATGGCTTCCATCCACCCAGCAAATAAAAGAAGAATATTCTCACCCACACAAAAGCTGCGGCAATTCGATATTCGATATTTGTGAAGGAGAATCCATCGAACCAAACACTCAACACAAAATATCGAGAAGACTAATTCCCAATATTCGAATCAATCCCGTCTTTTATATTCAGTGATAGAGATTTCAACCGTTGATGCAGCATTCGATTCGACGTACTGTTACACGAATCCCGCGGGATGACCCTCGACATGCAAATACATCCGTGAATAATGGATTATTTTTCGATATTTTTAAAAGCTTCTGCAGAAAAAACGAGGGTAAATCAACAAAAGTTCCAGCACAAGCGCTCGAATCAAACGTCTCTTTATTCGAAGTTCTTCTATTCATTTCCGTAATATTTCTGTTTGAAACTTATGAGTTCACATTTTCAATTCAATAAAAATATTTGAATTGCATAAAATAAATAATTCACTAATTCCGAATAAAATTGCAGTTAAATCCCCGATTTATTTGATCCAAGCAAAGGATTATTTCATGTCAATAAAGTGACAAATTTTCATTTTAAAAAATCATTGATGTGAGAGAATAAATGATTAATAAATGAATCAACAATAATTAACAAATAATCAACAAATAATACTTTACAGTCAATAAATTCTCTTTCGAAATTCATAAACTCGTATATATTTTCATTCCAATAAAAAAATTTCAATCGCAATTTAATCAACAATTTACGGGATCCAAGCAAAGAATCATTATACACTTTAATAAATTAGCACGTGTTCACATTAAAACAAATAATTTATTCAACACGAATAAGTAATCAGTAAATAGCAATACCCCTCAATAAATTCAAATTCTTCGAACACTTCGTCTCGACTAACCACTTATTCTCCAAACTTATGAACAACATTCTATCAACTTCAAGTTTTTGCATCCATATCAACAATATTTTTATTCAAAATTCATAAATCAATTTTTATTCTAATAAAAACATCCCAATCGAAATTAATTCATCAACTTATTCAACCCAACCAAAGGACCCTTACATTTCCATAAATTAACCCATGTTCCCATTAAAAAAACTATTTACCCCACGAACAAACCCCCACTCCCCACCAAAATAGCCAATAAATAACAATACCCCAATAAATTCAAACTTTTACCGCCCCACCTCAATTAATCACCGATTCTCCAAACTTACAAACAATATCCGATCAATCAGCCCTCCCCGCCTTAATTAATCAACAATGAGCGACGTCGATACGTAAAAAAATGGCGGTTAATGCCATATCTCAGCCTTAACATCGCCCCCCCCCTCACGTTTCCTCAAAACTATTGAAAAAGATTGAATGGAAGGGCCCTCAATAGAGGTAAAAGTTTCCTTCGTTCATTGGTTCGATCGTTAGAGGATATTCTCAAACCCGTCGAAAAGAGGGTACGGTTGCAAACGACATGGTAGAGCAGTGTATAAGCCGTGAAGAGTTCAGGACGGACGAGGGGGGGGGAGGGGGGTCGAGGGGGTCTGAAATAGACGGCCATTCAAAGTTACCGAATAGGCGATCGGTTCGCCTTCGGAGGCAAAATCCCCTAGGGGTTGTGTGTGCACTTGGTGCGAAGCTGTATTGCCTGGAATTCAACTTGGAACTTCCGGTTAAGGGTTTCGGCGACACTCATACACCCTCCCCTCCACCCCCCTCACCCCCTCTCATTCCCCCCCCCCTTTCCGTTCGCGCAACGACATTTAATGCATAATAGGGGAAGTCCTTTCGATTGCTTGGTATGCTACGATGAAATTCGTGTAGTGCCGGTTTGGCTCCTCCACCCACAGCATACACCCACCGTTTTCCCTTCTCAGGGGGTGGGGGGGAGGGGGGGGGTGATTATATTGCCAGTGGCGAAACCATGTAGGAAACGAGGCACGTAGCTGGTGGAACGTAATAATCGAGAGGCCGAACTTATCCCTCCCCCGCGAGTATTGCTCTGTGATGCGTCTATTCATCGCCAGAAACTGGGATAATTGCTCGACTATTTGATTATACTATTTTGCATCGCGATATGGCCATCGGGGGGTGATGGGGTGGGGGCGGAAGGGATTCGTATCTGTTGTCTGGGGGGCAGGGGGAGGGGGAGGGTATTGGGGTTTTCATTTTGGGGGTTTTTGTGGAGAATTTTTTTATCAATTTTGAGGAAGAATTGGTGGGATATTTGGGAAGGAAAATTGGGGTCGTAAATTTGTGGTTTACGGGGTTTTCCGAGATTTCAAATAAAAATTCGTGATGTTTAGGATTTTAGTGTCCGATTAGACTGTGAAAAATTTTTGTCTGAAATTTCCGGTACACTTTTTGGAAATTTTAATTGAAAATTCAGAATTTCGTGGAAAATATGAGAGAATAACCAGAAAATTCCGATAAATATATTCTTGAATTTTTAGGTCAGTGACAATGAAGGTGATTTAGGGGGAAAAAATAATGGAATTTCAGATTTCACTGAAAATTCAATGTAATTTGACACTGAATATTCATATTAGATTGGAAATTCAAATAAATTGAGGAATTCTCGTATTTACGCTGGTTAAAATTCTGGAATTTTATTGCATTTTCAGTGAAACCTGAAATTTCATGATTTTTTCCCCCTAAATCGCATTCAATGTCGTTGTTCTAAAAATTAGAAGTTAACTGTCTATGAAATTTTTTTTTTTCTAACAGTGTACCTAGATTTCAGATTCATTGTCAATTAGCTGTGGAAATCAATAGAATGCAAGAAGTACTCGGACATTCTCTAAAGCCAATTAAATGTACCATTGAAATCTGCTCAAATTGAGACCTTAAACTCCCCTTTCTCATAAATAAATCACCACAATTCTTCAATACTATTTTCAAAAAATTCGTAACTCCTAGAAAAATCGCAAGACTGCAACATTTCCATGATTTCATGAATCTGTCTCTAAAAATAAAATTCCCCAACGTATCAGAACAAAAAATCACGTCGTCTTCAAACCCCTAAACAATAAAACCCCCACAAAACGCTTCGCAATGCTCTGATATTAAGTACAAGCCTAAAAAAACAAAAGGTGTTCCCCAACCCGCACATTCTTAAAACCCCACTCAACATCCCAAAATCACTAACTGTCACCCAACTGTCAATAAAATCCCACAACAATTACCTCTCCATTACGACCTGACGATAATCCCTGAAAATAATTGCGTCGAATGAAAATTTTTAATTAGAAAACATAACGACACCCATGCAGAATTTCCTCATTATCCCACTAGTCATTACGGATCCCTCCGCTTTAACTCATCGAAGCCCCAGCAATTATAACTTGGCCGGCCTCGCCGAGGCGAAAAAAAAAAAAATTAGTCGGTGAAAACTTTAGTCACTGCAGTGCGCGCAGAATCCTCCCATTTAACCCGCAGCCCCCCCCATAAAATCGCCAACAATGCATAAATAATTCTCTAATTCCACTTTCACCCGAAGTCGTATAAGTAATGGACCCCTTATTCCTCGATCGCCGGGAATAATATGTTACCCATGTAATGCAGATTCATCGGACATGCACGAGATTTTTTATTACCCAAGCGCAATTGAATCCGCTCCCAGAATTTATCGATGAATTCTTCAACTATTGCAAACCCATCTCGCGCATAAAAAAGTGTATTTTATCCCTCTTTTGGCTTTCCTCTGCGTTGTAATTGTGAAACTCCGCAGGAAGTCCCTCGCATTGATTTATCGTTTTCACCCGTAGTTTCGTTGCAAAGAGGGCGAGGGGAGGGGGGAGAAAAAAGGTTTGAATAATTTTGTAAGTCTAGAAAAATCCGAATGCGTGAAGTTAAATCGCAGTGGAATATATTGTAGCTTTGAATTCCATTACCCTCGGCATCCTCGTTTCTCTAGCAACTCTTGTGCACACCTGGTAGTTCTAGTATATACGTGTGTTTAGAAGCGTGAGAGATGTAAAGTACATTTGCATTCTAAATGTATGCGGTCTCAAGAGCTCATTTTTCAAAAAAAAAAAAAACAGCTCCTTCAACATCTCATCCCTTGCGTTTGCGGGAATAAAAATAAATGTCATATCTGCATTGCATTAGGACATTCATATTCGGGTGGGCGATCATTTGGGCCCCCCCGTTATGCCCCCTGTGGGATTAGCCAATCAATCTGTGCTACACTACGACATTTTTTACTCCATTCTCCTGTC